TGCCTTACGCTGGGTATATTGGGGACAATTTTCAACTCATGCATGATATCGCAAGACCGCACGTCGCTAGAATTGTAACTGGATATCTTCAGGGGGTCGGAATTCCAGTTATGCAATGGCCAGTTAATAGTCCGGACTTAAATCCCATCGAGCATCTCTGGGAGCAGATAAAAAGAAAGGTAAGAGACCGAAATTCAGTTCCCAAGACGTTGGATCAACTGGAAGACGCCTTACCGGAAGAATGGGAACAGACACCCCAATAAGACATAAAAAGCTGTTCTGTTCCCTTAATAGGCGTATGCAGGCGGTGATAAAGTAAAGTTTACATTTTTTAAATGTCAAAAAATGTAAATATCGACCTTCACAGCAAAATCGTAAATTTTGTAAAATGTTATGGTTTCAATGTTCCTCATCCCATTTATTTGTAAAATACTCCGTTTCACGCGCCGGTTTTTAGTTTATTACAATTCAATAATTGCATTATTACATTATGAAAATAAAAATATCTATCGATTGTGGTAAAAACCCATAGGACACTTTTTTGCGAAAAAACGTAGGTAGGTCGATTTTTTGGAGACCAGTGTATTTTAAAATAACGAACTTCTATTTAAAAAACACTTGTAAATTAAAGTAGAAGACTCCGGTGATCTTGACAATTCCTTTAATCGATCTCTAATTAATATGAAAATTATTTTTAACAAAAATGTATACAAAAAGTCTTGATTGAGATATTTTATAAGCAGAGTATTGTGAATACTTTTAATGCAATAAATAATTATAAGAATGTGTAATATGGCATTTATAAAAGTCTAGACGCATTTATAAAAGGCGTTTATATTGGAACCAATGTCAAACAACACTCTTACTTAATATCTCAAATATCTACTCTGTTCGACGAAATATTCGCAATATCTGTTATTAGACAAAATTACCGGACAAAGAATGAAACTCTATGCCAGCATCAGTCTTCACAGCTGTGATTTTTTAATGGAAAGTAGAAATTAAAAATGTTTGTGTGTCCTTTGTTGATATACTATGATGACATGCAAGAACACAAACGAACACAAAACTGCAAAAGTTCTATATTATACAATTGCTAGACTTTAGTTACAAAGGAAGCAATACAGGGAATACAACTGCTCTTCATGGTCGATTTTGGAATATGAATATACTCTTGTTTACATTAAACGATGGATATAATCTAGAAGTATATTACTCAAGTGGATACGCAATCAAAGTAAATACATCTTGTTATGTAAGATGTAACATACGTTTTTCTACAAAGTTATTTTTAGGCAGTTTCTTTGACAAGTGTTATATGATTAGCATGCTTATTGTATAACAAAGAAATAGAATATAATTTAGAAGTGATTCCAATAAAATTGACTCCCATACGTCGCCTTTTGAGAATGAATAAATGATATTACATAATTATATCGCTATCTTAAGAATAGAGATTAAGTGAGAAACCGTGTAAAATTTTTAATTACAGGCTCTTGAAATACAAAGATAGAGTTAAGAATATACACGACAATCCAAAATACCTGTTTTATAATTAAAGCATTTAGTTTCGGTTGAGCATTATATTGGTTCGTATGTTAGTACGGCATTTAAAAGAAATTGTATAAGATTTAGTGCAGCAAAAATAAACACGATTGTATTGATTCTCGAAATCACTTGAGTGAATATACTACAACTTAAACACGCATAAAAGTGTGTTAAACTTAAGAGGAATAAAATTTAAATTAAAAATATTTTTTTATATTTTAATTGCTATGCTACAAAACTAATAAACTTACATATAAATGTTCCACTTTAAACTATTGTTTTAGTTTCAATTGAGACCTTGATAATGCCATACAAACATTTTTTGATCAAATTTAATTTCTAATGGTGTTAAATAGTTTTAGCAATGTAACTGCAAAGGGACATTAAATAAATTTTAAAAATTATTTAAAAAATTAACAATTGTTTCAATAATTAAATCATCAGAATAGTTGAAAGTTGATATATTTATTTTTTCTTCACACCTTTATTTCTAGATTGAAAAGAATTCTGCTCATTTTCTAAATATCGTCAAATTCTAGAACTTCGATTCATTTTGTTTTAAAATTAAATAAACATAAAAAATAACCAGTAACAAAACAATAAAAAGGAATACAAAAATAAGTCAACAGTACTTACTATAAACATAAGTAACGTGAGTTAGTGTAATATAAAATATTTACTCCCACATATCTAAATAATGCGATAAAATAAATTTTGTTTTTTGTTTCTTTCTATCAACAACCATTCTTACCTTGCATGACAGTTACAAATTAAAAATTAAAATTTCTTAACAGTGTTTTAATTTCAACTTTTTATTACATCGTATGCATTTTTCAAAAAACGATTTTAAAGTTGGCACATTTTTATTCTCCCGATAAAAAGCGCAAACAGCTCGCTAGAATGAAATAACACTGCACTGCAATTAAACAAAAGATGATTCAGTTATTTTGTAAATTTTATTCTAATCCGGTCCCAGGCAGGCATTTTTTTAAATTGATTCATTTTAACGTCGACTGTTACTACTTGTCTTTTATTTAATAATTTATTAAACATTGCACCGCAACTCGCGGGCCCTTAAATTGTTTCACAACCTCTCGCTTTATTCTTCCCTTAAATAAAATAAGATAAAAAAAATAGCCCATAGTTACGGTACAATGCTTAATCAACGTTCTTTATTAATAATAGTATTGTTCGTTTTTTATTATTTTATAATAAAACTCTTAATTTTATTATCTGTTTATATGCCTAAAGTTCTTGTTAGACGATTTATAAACCCTTATTTTTGGCACTAACAAATCTAATTTAAACTTTCAAATAAATTTATAAATTTATTTTTTTATTCAGTTCAAATGTTAACTTAATAATTATTTTAATTATATTAAACTTTTAAAGGGTTTTTACATCATAGTAACAATAATTATAAATATCAAGATAAAGGAAAATAAAAATATAACAACATGCCGTTATTTTTAAGTATTTAAGCAGACATAAATAACCATATTATTTATAGAATGTGTTTATCAATAACACAAAAATAAATATTTCGAGCACTAAGCTGTTGTATCAAACAGGTATTAGTGTAAAAAAACTATTTGGTATCATAACCCACACACGTAAATAAGCGTTTATAAATATACTTCTCAATAAATAACAAGCAACAATTTAAAAATAATGTATTTCGTTTAACTCCACTTATATTAACGTGTCGACAAAATCAACACTATTACGAGCGTCCAGTCAAATTCAAATAAATCTTGACATCACGTCGATTATTGACAACCTAAATACAATTCGAATTCGAAAGAACACATTGAGATGTAATAACCCTATTTTAATTTCTAGTATTAGTGAGCTTACTTATCCGTTATACTTAGTTTAATTGATTTTATAGTCTAATATAAATTAGGGATACGGCAATGACCTAGGATAACACGACACCTATAAGAACGAAGTTGAGGAACGGACATAGATAAAGATGTGAAAAATGTAACTTTTGAACAATATTATGTTATGGCATAGTATAACTACGATACGAGCTAAAGGGTAGATCTACTCGAAATTTATTCATAGCGTCACGTCGATGGTGAAGTTTGAAGCAGTAATATTTTATTAAATCTAAAAGTGTTTTGGGACTGTAATTACTGATTTGACTGACTTAGTAATATTTTGCAAAGGATTACATGTGATGACAATTTAGAGCGCTAGTGTCGTTTCTGGTTTAAAATATACATAGTTAGAAATGCAGTGTAATGCGCAATGAAAAGGCCTTGTGACCAATAATATTACGCATATTTACTCCACGATATTAATTTTTTAACATATTGTACTATTTGTAGTGAAAGAAGAAACGCTTTGCGGGATTATTTATCTGCTAATGGCTTATAGTAGCGATATAAAATTAAAGGGCATTAACTTTTAATGATATTTACTAATATTATATGATTCTTTCGTAATATGATCGTTATGATTGTGATATAACAAGTGATTGCCTTTTACCTAAATACAGATTACATCATGATTTATCCTAACATAATATCATAAATAAATTATCAATTCATTTTCGCTAAGCCCATATCTAATAATTTATTTGTCTCCTTGATTAATAGCTCCATATAGATTTTTTAATGTTTCTTTATATTTATTAGTCAATTTTTATTTTTGCTCCTTTAAGTTTTTGACTTCGGATCAATTCCACAAATATAAACAATTCCAAGCTTGAGTTAGTTATAAATTTTAATGTTTATTCGATAAAAATTAAAATTTTATTTAAACAAATTAACATTCGTGATGAATTTAAATTCCATTAAAGAAAGAAGTTATGTTACTAAATGACAGTTGATGAGTAAAGCTATGTACATCTTAATAATACCCTAAGGAAATTTAATCGTCAGTGATCGCTCAATCACTTGTATAAGGATAATTGTTTTGTAGTTTATCTATTTGTATAAATATTGTCATATCCTGCGTAAATAAACTTCTTTTTAAATTTAATTCTGAAAGTGAATACATCTTTTAACTATGCAGTTACATAGCACATTTAAATTTCAGCTTTTAGTTTTGAAATTAGCAGTGAATATATTTATTTGCTTTCAGAATGTTCAAATAAACGTAAACATTCTACGTGAAGTCAATCGTGCTTTCTGACTTCATTAAGAGAATCGTTTTTATTACATAATCATTCGAATTAATTGTTAGTATAATTATCATGTTTTAACAAATTCTACTCGTTAATATTCATCTGTATAACATCGTAGTCAACATCATAATGGTTTTCTTCAATAATTATGTTGGGCTAGGTTATGTAATGCATAATATTATAATTATATTTACTGTCTTCCGACATAGTTAATGGAGAAATGTGCGTTTGAACTGCGTTATTAGTTTAATTTACAATACATTATTTTAACTACAATAAAGTTAGTTCTCTCGTATCTGTCTGTGGACGCTCAGCTTCACTGCACGATAATATGAGGCGCTGAGAGCAGCACGGCCACTGTAGCGATGATTGTGAACAGGGTGAAAACAAACAGGCAAAACCTGTAGAGTAAAATACATGTTTGAGAGTAAGTAATGTTAAACCCACCTAATTCATGTAATAGCAGTGCCAAAATCAATCAGCCCATTTATTCAATAGATTTCGCAAAATGCGAGTATAGAAAATCGACTATAGTTAACCTATATACCATAATACATGATAACGACATTTGCTATCCTATCCTACCAAGCTTGGCCAACATATTCATTTAATTTGTATTTAAATAATAAAACATTTCACCCAATCCATGAGTTGATTGTCTTTGTATCGTGCATGTTACGAAGCTGCCATGGAAATCGCGAACTCAAATAATTTCACTGTCAACAGATTTTGCCTGTAATAAGTTATATGTTCTTAGTATAATGAACTATAACGTGACGTAACCTACTGGTTAAGGATACAGAGGAAAGATGTAATAATAAAGTCATGGGTTTGAAACGCTATTTGATTAGTATCTTATACGATCAGGTCAAGATCTCAAGCATTTAGGCTTAGTTGGAGTGACAATGTTAGTAAAAAATTACCATGTAGCACAGTGATCAGTGCAGATACTAGCAATCCGCTCCGGCTTCGCCTGGGTAAGATCCACTAATGTGGCGTTATTTAGATTTAAGGTAATCAAAATCCATTTATTTTATCACTTGCGCTTTTTCAAAAAAAATCTCCAAGTTGTTTGTATAGAATATAGCTAACATCACTCCTGGCTGCCACTCATTGCTCTGTAGATTAATCCAGACAGATAGACGGATACACAGACAAATATTTAAATATTGGTTATTCATATCTGAATGACTTGCAAATAACTCCCTCAGCTCAATAAGGTAGCTATTTCGACATTACAGACTGACACTTCCAATTTTATTTATTTGTATAGATATAGTACATAGTTCCTAAATTCAAATGTTAGCGATGTCAATACTTGTGGAACAAGCTTAATGGTTAAAACACTAATTTAAAAAAAAAACCAACTGCGTAAAACATTTTACTGAAAATTGAGTAATTACTTTTCACGCGATAATAATTATCTGTGTGCACGGCAGTGCCCCCGCCAAGTCGAGCAAAAAGCGGCACGGCCTTACCATTCTTTTTTCGATGCAGTTCAGGCCATATTCGACCCCCTATAACTTCGTCGTAGATAAAACTAGAAGCCTGAATTCAGTAACCAAGCATATATTGTATGAATACGGTATATTTCAAATTTCATTCAATTTGATCCAGTAGTTTAAGAATTATAACTAGTCACAGTTTCTTAATTTTATCATTCAATGACTGACCGATCATCAAAAGTCTAAGGCACTTCTAGCAGACATAGAAACTTCAAATTTAGAGTACAATTAGTGTTTAGTATACACTAATCAAGGAAATAAAATAAGTAAATCAAGGAAAAATTAAAATATTTTGCAATTTCGGTCCAGTTTTCTAGATACACCAACTGCATAACTTTGAAATCCTATATAAATATATAGGATTACAAAGTTACATTTGTAGTGAATGAATCAGTGTACCTGTATATGTATAATTTAATGGAATAATAGATGTAGATAGGTACCTAGATATTATTATGTTTAAAGGTAACTTGTAAAATGGCCAATGAAATGAAAAAACAAGGATGGGACATGTCTTATGAAGTTGTACCAAAATCCCGCAAAGTATTAAGTAGACTAAATTGCCCGAAAATCCGTAGTTGGTATTCAAGAAGTAGATGGTACCGGAAAGGAAAAAAGTAGGACTATCTATAAAAAGAAATGAAATGTCATCAAAAACGTAACTAGTAAAAAAACCAAGTCTCGCAACTTACTTCTTCTACCGTAAAATGTTGTGAGATCCATGTAATACCAAGTCGGTTAATTTATTCAGTCCCTCCTTAAGGGTCCTTCTGTCTCAAGTTATTATGTAATTAACTAACTTAACAACATTCTATAGTGACCATATCAATATTAAAAATCTTTTATATTTTAAATACATAGATTAACTTGGCAATCGCACTAAACAATCTAATTTAATATAATATGTATTACTTGAGAGATACATTGTGTTTTCATGCGATGGCCAAGTCAATCTATTTGTTTAAAACATAAAAGATTTTTAATATATTTTGATAGATTTTTAATATATTTTGACGGCTCCGTGGCGCAGTTGCTTAGCAATCAGTTGTTGCACTGGGGGCCGCGGGTTCGAATCCCGCACGGAACAAGTATTTGTATGGCCAACAAATAATTGTTCCGGGTCTGGATGTTTGTCCTTGTGCAATTTATGTTTGTAAACTGCCTCCACGACACAGAAGAAAATCCTAGTATAGGGGTAACGTTTTTTTAAAAAAATATATTGATATGGTCACTATAAGATGTTGTTAGGTTAGCTAATTACGTAATAACTTGAGACAGAAGTACCATTAAGTAGGAACTGAATAAATTAACCGACTTGGTATTACATGGATCTCACAACTTTTTACGGTAGAAGAACTGAGTTGCGAGACTTGGTTATGGTTATGTTTTTGATGGCATTCACTTTTCAGTAAACTGTTTGATAAAGTTCTCATATGGTTATATAAGAACTTTATCACAGCTTTATTACAAGTTTTGAAAATTTAAGAGAGTAGATCCTAAATGGTCATCCAAAATGCAAAATGATTATAGAAATCTATTTTTAAAGACCTATTTAATTATACTACACTTTCTTTTGGAACGAAGTTTTTTATCGGACGGTACGAATTTGGCGGATGGGGCTAGGCGAGAAAAAGTGTAAGATATTTCCGTCGCGACCCCTTCTGACATAGTTTAGACGGCCTTGGCGGATATAAGGAAACGAGATGAAATAATATCCGTCTCCCTCGCACTTTTCCTTATCTTGCCATGAAAGAAATATTATTTTATTTTAAATGACGCTTCATTTTAATAGACGCTAGTAATTTATTATAAATATATATTTAATACAATTATACGATATTTTATTATATACAATATTAAAAACTATAATAAATAAAAGTAAAACTAGTAACTTCATTATCATACAGTGCTACTCCCCGCGGTATCGTGCCAAGAACACTGGCTGCGTTTCCCGCTGAATGGCTATAATTAGACTTTGAGCGAGAAAAGAACCAGCCCTCTTGTCACCAGCAGCAACGACCAGCCGCGGATGGAGTTCCTTTAGGAACTTAACCGCACGTGACCCCACGAACCGGTAGTCTCTACAGCAAATTGCACAAATAGGTAGTCATCTCTCAGAAACTCATATTTGCGCCACTTACCCGGTTCAGCCGCCTCTGATGCCGCCCCGGCTCTAAGCGATGTACCTCTGAGATGAGAAGCCGCCAAAGTGTCTACGCAAGTAGCATCCCACACTAGGGCTTTACCTCTCCCCCAAAGTACCAATGACATACCGTCGGGTCTCCTGCCATCGTCTCTAAAACCGAGGGAACATTTATAGAGACAAGAGCCCTTCGGATGACATCGTTCAAAGAACCGTACCGTGAAAACCTACCATCACTTTTCTTACATGAAAGTCCGTGGAGCCCAAACTTGTCGATGATGCTACCACAGGAGCACTGATGACATTGACAAATCGCCGCTCCTTGTCGGATTCCTACGGCGATGCGCAAGCTTTCCCCATCAAGTAATGTGCAGAGATTACTAGATGTGCGAGGGAGATGGATATTATTTCATCTCGTTTCCTTATATCCGCCAAGGCCGTCTAAACTATGTCAGAAGGGGTCGCGACAGAAATATCTTACACTTTTTCTCGCCTAGCCCCCATCCGCCAAATTCGTATCGTCCGATAAGAAACTTCGTTCCAAAAGAAAAATATGAAATTCGACGAACTATATCAAGTGGAGTATAAAGCGTGTAACCAGTGACTAGATTCCTTAGTCGAAACAGCTAGAAGGCGTGTCTTATCTTGGTCATTATGGAAATTATGAAACAAATCTTTCTGCACGCTCTGTGCCAACGGAATATCCCAATGTTTTTGTTGGTTAACTTCCAGTGGAATATTTTCGCCACGACAGAGCGTTTGCCATGTCTGCCCTGCCTCCGTAGCAAAGCACAGTCTAATTTATTATTTAAAATTATGTAATTAATAATTAGTAATTCATTTATTTGTATTTGTTAATCAATAATATAATACGGTTATCAATAATAATATACTACGAAAGGAACTTCGTTCCAACCCAATGTTCCACGACACTTCTTTTTTTACAGTATGGCGTCTGGTTGTCGCCATATTGAATTTTGATTACTGTCATGTCTTTAGTGACACTCACAAGATTAAAAAAAATCGATTTACTTAAGAATCATCAAAATCGATGTCTCTAGAGCGCCCACAAAGGAACAAACACACAGGCTAATAAACACATTACACTCCTTTGCGTCGCGCAAGTTGTGATACACACCAGTGCAGAAAACCAAAAACACAAGTGGTTGGTTTTCGGCTCTGCTGTGTATTATTAGCCGATTCCAAAAAAGAAGGTTCTCTATTCAACTGTATTTTTATTGTTACATGATATCTTCCCCTATTGTGAAACTGAACTGAATTTGTAGGGAATAAACATGGGAACCATTCAAATTTGAAGAAAAATCTCCACCTCTAAGGGTAGAGAAATAGGGGATAGAATTTTTATTTAACTGTTAAAACAAAATTCTAGTTGTTGCTTTGAAGTTGTGACATAGTTTAATCCACACAAAAAGTTTTAATTAATCTTTAAAAAAGAAAAAACCGACTTCAAACGACCTTAAAAGAACAAAATAATTTCCATATAAATTAATATTTTCTCAAGTCATTGCTAATGTATTGAAGCGCCCTAAATTCAGAGGCTATTAAATTATGCAAAAATTATATATTCTTTTTGTGTTTTAAGCTCGTCTGTTTTTAATTTAATTATAATGGTTTCCGTATCTTTGGCACCACATTCAGCTATATCTGTTGCATCCTGTATATGCGGGGTTATTTTGCAATAACCAGCCAAATTTGCAGATAAGGTTCAGAAGAATATTATATAGGCAAATGG